CCACCCAGTGAATCTTCCAAGGCAGGAAAGAACAACTACATGTGCAAGTTTATGCAACTAGTTTACTTTCATTTAGACAGCACAGCTAGCAAGAACAGAGAAGCAGAGGTCTCAGCATAGCGCAGCTATGATATTACACAGTCAGGACCCCAAAAGACCATACTCTGACCGATAGCCTGTGCTGCTGTATCTTCCAAGCTCAGAATAAAGTTTCTGAGGCAATAGCCACATTTATTGTATGAAGACCTACAGTTAGATTCGGGAACTGAAGTGCACTGCCAAATTTCAGGGTGAATTACCCTTGCCACAAAATTTCTGTGCCCATGGTCTTCACTGATGTCTTAACCTATGGCTTTCACAATCTGATGCCATTCAGTTTTTAGCAGGAACCAGATGGCCAGAAGAAGACATCTCCCTAGCAAAATCCGTTTATAAAATGAGTAAAAGAGAGGAGCAGTGAGCTGAGTATCTATCTGTTTCTCGTACTGGAGCTTGGGGGATCTGGGAGGATCTGCCACTGGTATTTCTCCAGCAGCAGTGAAAACAGAGCTAATCATGCCTTTTCTTAGCAGAGAGTGAGTTTCAGCCTATCTGTCAAGTTACTAGAAGGAGCATACTCAAGAAATGAACTTTTATATTCTCACATTTATTATTGTACCTGGAATGTATACTATGATGACACTTAGTTTTCGTACTTTTGTAGGAACCAAATTAAGTGTTTTGCTCTTTGTCTGTCTCATAGTGAAAGTGAACATAGAATATAAACTGCTTTATGAGTGTCCTAAACCTGATTAAATATATAGTACTTTTAATAAAATTTATTTTTAAAGTGTGGAGGAAGGAGTAGATAATTCAACGCTAGTAGCAACATAATCTATGAGAGATGAGTTTGCCTAGCAATAAAATCTATGTAAACTATTGGTGTGTTAGAAGAAAAAATTGAAGGTTAACCATGACAACTAAACCTCTTGATCTAAGTTCCTCATACAAAAAGGCAGTATCAGACTAAGTACAGTAGCTAATTTAACTGACTTGTGGGATTGCTTACACACTCTAGACAGAGCACCAAATCTCTGTCCACAAAATATTTCAGGTGCATTGCAACCACTAGGTTTTTCCCTAAGAAAGTGTTTCCAGTTTCCTTGCATAAGGGACTCAGTCCTGCTGGTCTT